TATAATGTCATGTTAAAATTTAAGGGGATTTTTGTTTGTTCTTTAAACCTTCAAATCTGTGCATCATCTGCACAAAATAATGACTCCGAGTTGATTTCGTCGAACAAATCATTCATAAATATCTATAAGATAAGTGCTCCTAAGACGGCCAACTGTAAACTTAATTTTGAGACTCATCAGCTTACATGCAATCTGTACCCGACCGAAGCTGCTACCTTGACGTGGTGGTCGGGCTTGCCTATCGTCATGACCCAACCGAGCTATATTGGCTGGAACATATGTTCCTGCAGGTCCTACCATGCCAGGAAGGTCGATTGGAGAACGATGAGACTAAAAGCAGCTACCCAAGGTCTGAGGGCGAAGTCGTACTGCTGACTGCAGAGGGGTGTGACAGCAGTAAGGTGTTTCCCTTGGACAACCAGCATCTGCAGCGATGCTGCCTTCTCACAAGGAAGGAAGGGTTAGAAAAGCTCGACCCTAAAAATGTCACACCTCCCCTACCTCACGGATTTCCGTCTCCTTAGGTAAGGGTGCCCACTAAGGGCCCTTAAGAACGGAGCTAATCCTCAAACAACGTCTCATAAAAAGGCCGTGCGTGACCGGCCTCAAGCAGTTGTCCCTTGGACCCTGCGGTCACGCACCAACACTAATCCATCTTCCTTTTCAGGTTCGTCAAGAAACAACCTTCCACGGTGTGGGCAGCCGGGAAGTGATAACCGCCCTCATACCCGCAACAGCACACGAGACCAAATTGTTCAAAATCAAATCCTTTCTACATTCCCTAGTACCTCTCTTATCTCCACAACTAACTCTTCTCACATTCATTCATCACAGTGCACAGCTAATGCAGACGATATGAGTTCGCGAAACGTCGTTCCTGGTCTCCTTAAACCCCGTTCCAAACTACATGTTGGAGCATTCAATGTACGGACATTGTGTCAAATAGGGCAACAGGCATCATTAGCTAGGACTTTAGAATCTCGTTCCATCGATATATGCTGCGTCTCGGAAACGCGCATACAGGATCCGAGTAGCATCACTCATTTGACCTCACCATTTCAAGATAAAGAAGCAGCTCGATTTACCCTTCGTGTATCCGGTAGCCCTGATGTGCTTCTAGGGGCCTCGCCGGTGTAGGTATAGCATTGAGTCGTAGGGCAGAACAATCTCTCCTTGACTGGATCCCTGTAGATAGTCGCTTGTGCGCCGTCCGACGCAGCGGGACAGTAAGGACTCGGGAAGATAGGGACACTCGCCGTTGCCTCTTCGTCATATCAGCCTACGCCCCCACTGACTGCAGCCCAGATGATGTAAAAGATGAGTTTTACAGAAAGCTTTCGGACCTCCTCCAAAAAGTTAATCGCTCTGTTACGGTCTCGCGGCTCATAGAAGAGACAATGGTGACCGTCTGTTGCAGGCATGCTCAGACAACCGCCTATTCCTAGCAAACACTAGCTTTAGGCATAAGGAAAAACACATTTGACCTGGCGACCCCCAAAGTCATCTCAACGTTGGACACAACTAGATCATATCGCCATCAGCCACCGATGGAGGGGTTCGATAGAGGACTGTCGCTCGTTCTGGAGCACATGTCTAGATTCAGATCATGCCCTAGTGCGAGCACGTATTTGTTTGAGGCTTGCTGGACGTAGGAAAGTCACCGTAAGGAAGCCTCTTAGGGCTTTACTTGATGATAATCAAGCTAAGAAAATATTTCAGGAGGAACTAGAAAAACAGTTAGGCGACCATGCAAGTGATTCCCATCCTGAAGCAGGTTGGAATCATATCAAGAAGGCTGTAGAAACAGCAATGGTATCTGCTAGCAAGGTAAACCACAAGGCTAGGATGAAGCAGTGGATTTCAGTCGCATCCACCGAACTGATGGATGCTCGAAAACGCATCCCACCTGACTCTGAACATGATGAAGAGCGTAGTCAGCTTAGGTGCAGACTTATAAAAAGCCTACGTAACGACCGTGAACAGTGGTGGGTGGCGAAAGCAAAAGCGATGGAAAAGGCAGCGGCGATCGGCAACACTAGACAACTTTTCCGCCTTATTAAAGAAACCGGTATTAGGAACCCGAATGTAAGTGAGACTATTTCGGAAAAGGATGGTCTTATTATCCATTCTCAATCTAGGAGGCTGGACCGATGGGCAGAACACTTTAGGGATCAGTTCAACTGGCCACGAGCCACTCTTCGGTTACCCACGATCTCCAGTCATCCTGAATGGCAAATCCATTTAAGTCCTCCCAGTTTACATGAAGTTGAGAAAGCTATAGGAAATCTAAGGAGAGGTAGAGCGGCAGGTCCTGATAGACTGACCCCTGAGATGTTTAAGTATGGTGGTCCAATTTTAACGGTTAAACTGACCGAGATCCTAGGTAGAATCTGGGAAATGGACGTAATCCCATCCGACTGGTCTCAGTCGCTAATTGTCCCAATCTACAAGAAAGGACAGAAGTCCTCTTGTGACAATCACAGGGGAATAAGTTTAACTAATATGGTTTCTAAATTGTTAGCCTCGATTATACTTAGACGTCTAACTAGAGCTCGTGAAGAGCAGACTCGAGTAAACCAGACTGGTTTTCGACCTGGACGTGGTTGTATAGACCACATTTTCACACTACGACAGGTCCTGGAACATAGACACACATTTAGACGTCCGACAATAGTCGTGTTCCTGGACCTTAAGGCGGCATTCGACTCAGTGGATCGTGAGGTTCTGTGGCAGTGTCTGTCATTGAAAGGTGTACCAAAGAAGTACATTAACCTTATACAAGCTCTCTACTCGAACACCACTGGTCGGGTGAGAGCATATGGCGAACTGTCATCTGAATTCTCTACATCAAGTGGTGTCCGTCAGGGCTGTCCACTCTCTCCATTCTTGTTCAACTTTGTCGTAGACATCCTCTTAGAGTTAACATTAAGCTCGTCAGATTTTTCAGGGGTTGACCTTCTACCAGGAAAGTCGCTTACTGATCTAGAATATGCCGATGACATAGTTCTATTCGGTGAAGACGCTGACAAAATGCAGAGTCTTCTGACTACCATAAGCAACAATGCAAGCATGTTCGGGATGCGGTTTTCCCCCTCGAAATGCGAAATGTTGCTTCAAGACTGGGTTGCTTCGGCACCTGAACTAGTGATAGGGAGTGAAGTAGTCGAGCGTGTTGATTACTTCACTTATCTTGGGAGTCTCATCAGTGCTGACGGTCTGGTGACTGACGAAATCTCAGCTCGGATACAGAAAGCTCGATTGGCTTTTGCCGACCTGCGTCACTTATGGCGTAGGCGTGATATCCGTTCGCTAACCAAAGGGCGGGTGTACTGCGCAGCAGTTGAGTCCCTACGGCTTGTTCCGGATTTCGGACAAACTAATCAATCTCTTTCCGAGTTACTATTTCCGTCTTTCAACCGTGTATATTATTCGCCCATAACTTTCGTTGTTTTTGAGTGTGTGTATGGATTGCTTACTTCGTTTATTACATGTCCAGCTTCTTTCGTTGTGCCCCATCCCATTGAGCTATTTCGCTCGTCTTATCCACTGTGCCATACTTAAGTGACTTTTGTTCTGATGTCTGTCTGCTTGCACGATTGCATGAAATAAGCTAAACCAACTGTATCCGTATTTAGTTTACTAAAATCACCGTCTTACAAACTGGAAAATACATCAATTATTAAAGCTTTCACTCAACATTTTACTCTTGGAGAAGACAATAATTGAAAAAATCGGGCATACTGGATTATAGAACACACTTCGGTCATATCGACTGTCAATATGGGATGTCATTATAGACGATGATGTGACTAAACGCTGGATATTAGGTAGTTTAAGTTGTAAGATCACAGCAATTCTACAATTTTGGAATAGTTCTAGTAATTTGCAAGCATATTTAAGTGCACTAGTAACGGCTTTCACCTAAATCCTACAGGTTCTAACAACATCTAATGTGGCTGAGGCGGTCACTCTTCTAGCCTGAAGCACTTTAACTAGGTCTCGATGATCGTGAGGCGTAACGGACACGTATCCGAGACAAGTTAATTGTCATCGGGGTATGAAGGCCTTTGCTACATATGTGAGCTAACACCAACCAGCCTAGGCACTATGGGAATCACCATACCGGTTTAATCTTGGTGCAGACGCTCCCACTGACCACAGTTCATCATTTCTAAATCGGATTTAAGAGGACCGTTTAGGAGACGGTCTTCGGAATACCAGTAGGTTTTTTCCTGTGTGTATGCGGGATTTCATGTGGGAAGGCAGTTCCATGGATAAGAGTAAGTTGACATGAACCCACACTGCCCAATTATTGCAGTATCACAACGACAGTGAGCCCAACGACCACATAAATCACAATCAGATGATGGGTCATTGGTTTCAACGAGTGACGAGCATGCGATTATTAGTTCTTTTCAAAAGTAGGCTATGTTACTGGGAACTAAGATTGCTTTTGTCTTTTACATGCCTACTAGTTCTACTAGGAGTAAGCGCTTAGCACCTATCCATTAACAAAGAGCTAAATCTCATTGTAAGCAAGGAAGATTCAAACACTGCCAACCAACACAATCTACACATTCTACGAACCAAGAATGACTTACATTTCCAGTACATTAAACTTTTCAGCAATTAAAAAGGATATATCTTTAATTCATGGAGGTTAAATTTATGTCCGGAGAACAATGGCGTGTCTATTAACGACGAAATTTAATGTCGGTAAATAGGGGGCCTCGAAAAACATCAGCTGTAACCACTTTGTTGTGGTGGGGGTTAATGGGAACAAAACCTTTAAACAGCCAAAGTCCAATCGCTCACTGCAATTTCTGTTTACCCGCAATAAAGTTGTGGTCACCGGTTCCCAGTAATCCCTATTGGTGCCTTCAGCTGTATAGTCATCACTGGTAATAACTTAACACATCTGGAGGGAAAATGAAACTTGAACACCACTAGATAAATGTAATAAACATGCTTGGAGCGTATAGTTACTGCGATGATTTGAGAACTAAGATGAGCAAAATATATGGTATCTTATGCGGACACGTAGATTTTACACATTTGTTATAAAAAAACCAGTAGAAAATTAGGAAAATCATTTACACGTTACAATCAACAATAACAACACTATACAGTTTTTCGTTGTTCTTCATGAGAATAGTGCCAAAACACAAATGATATGCACCCAGTATCCCAAGTCGCCTTTAGGACTGAATCATTTAACGCCTTTTTCGTATAACAATGATTCCATTGTGAAAAGTCTGAATTACAGTCTGTCCCCTCTGGTGGAGGCTTTATTTGTACGGAATTAACACAACGACGACATTTGAATCTGACAAGAAAACAAATTCGAAATCCACTGTAGTTCCAGTAATATTAAAAACAGTAATAATGAATTTGGAAAACTGACAAAAAATATCTTAATTAGACAATCTGCCACAAGAAATTTATTTAGAATTTTTCATTAAGCAATATTCAGGACAAAAAGTCAAAATGTACGAAGTACATTCCTGCTTGTCCATGTATATCAACATTAGTTTATGTAGTCAACATAAAACCGTTGGGTAGAAGATGAAAATGACATTCAATAGCCGGTGTTTGGACAGTTAATTACTATGTACCACAATCCTATAATAATGCCGGTAATGAAGTAATTCACTAACATGTTCTACAACATAAACTTACGTATATTCATACTTACACAATTAGGGAACATACATCTACAGCGAATTATGGAGCCACTAACTAGCTACTAAGAGTGAAAACGAAGTTTGCATGACATAACAGTCCATTCAGTCAAAAGGAATGTAGAATGAGGAATCACAATTAGTAGTGAGTCAGTGTTGTTGTATACTATTAGTATGGGGAGATTTCTGGACACTGTACAATTCCAATACTTCTAATCACGAGCTGATCTTAGTCAGGCCATCATTCAAAACCTGGAAGCACTGGACGGCCGTTTCATCTTACCATGAGATTTTGTAAAAGTATATTTTGTTCTTCAAGTTTATAATAAACTAGAAAAAATGTACGACAATTTACTTTTATAACTGTTAAATACTTTATTCTTACAACCTGTTACTCTTTTTCTAATACATTACAAATTTCCTAGGCTACCTACAATATTTTTCCATATTTATGAACTTTTATCTTGTTATTCACATAAACACTACTGATTACTGATGCGACAAAAGCCTTTATACAAACTCTGAGTACACACCATTGATTAAAATTATACTGGACATTTGCAGAGAGAAGCAATATAGATATGTCCATATTTTGGGCTTGATTATAAATGAAATTGTACAATACAATAACAAAACAGTTTCATTTTATAGATAATATTAATCAAACCAACCTATCATGAGTATCCGATAGAGTATCAGAATGGTACATGAAAAGCTCTCTCAAATCATCTAGACTAAAGTGACGCTCAACTTCCTCCTGTTGATCAACTACACAACTGCTAAGAGCTTTTTTATGCGCTTGACGTTGAAGCATCTTCTCTTCAATAGTACCTGTCTAAAATCGCATTATATTTGGGAGAGTAAACAATGAACAACAAGTTTTATTTGAAAAGAATGATAATCAATACAGAATAATGAATAAATATAAACTTCTGCCAAAAAGTCAATGATTTTTTCAAATTTGAAGGCACCTGAAGATTCTGAGCACGACCTCCGGTCGGGTTATAGATGCATACTGAACAGGATGAAACAGCTATCTGGTACTTTCTGGATTACAATAGTTGTCTAACTGAGGTTAGTCTGTGATGCCAGCCACAAAACTTAACAAGCCCTATAAGCCCATCATACTGATATGGTTCTAAGGTTACGAGAATATAAGTATTTGGATAAAATATGCTATGAAAATGTCAAATATTGGTTAGGATACCTAATGCAGTACCACTTTATATGACAAAATTATGTAAAAACTAATTCAAATGTGTTAATAAACGATAAAAGCCTACTGAAATAAGACGGTAAATATAGCACTGTTTCTTCTGACCATCACGCCATACACGTGCCATTGCCTGATCATCATTAGCTGGATTCCAGTCAGGATCAAACATAACGAGACGATTAGCACCAATCAAATTAAGACCACAGCCACCAGCTTTACTGCTTAACATAAAGACAAAATCACGTGACTGAAAGGAAAAGATATAAATATGATCAAATCATTCAAATGACACTAACAAGTAATCAGATTTAATTTCAAGATAGAGAAGATTCGTAGCTCATGAGGATGATTTGTATGGAGTTGTGCTCTCTGAGATGGATAGTTTATTCGTAAAAACTTAATTGTATTTCTAGACAACAGGATAAATTCAAGATAGACAAAACAAGCCATTATTATTATTTTTAACATCATTACAAACTGTATTCACATGAAGTCAAACGATGATTAATTTGTTGTGAAGGTCATAAAGCAATCAAATAAGAAGTACTTACGGTTGGATCATTAAACTGTTCGACAACTTTAGCTCGTTTTTTTATTGTCATCGAACCGTCCAGTCGTACAAAATTATACCTGTAGGCAAGGAAACTCGAAAGTATAATTTTGAGTTTGTCAATCAGACAATTTTATAAAATATAAACACTAAAAACTAACCGTTTCTTGGTAAACAGACGGACGTAGATGATGACTAGTTTGATGAAGTAACAAAACCGTATTTGGCTGAAAAAACACACAAATAAGTAGCAACACCACAAAAAATTCCAGCGACCTGTTTTTGAATTGGCTTAGTACAAAAGATGAGGTTAACAAAAGTTTTATTTGTGCGTTTAGATGCATATATGTTACACAAATTAGCTGTTCTCGTTTTATTCTTTTGAATAATCATGAACAATCATGCTACTCAAACTTATCAGCTAATGATAACCAACAGAGGGTTCATTAACATTCCATCAAGTAGTACATATTAAATTATACCTAAAATATGTACAAGGAGTGAAATGAACCTTATCGTAGTAAATCACCGGGGTTAAAGACTGAGAACATGTATATTAGTAGTCCTGCTATGAACTAGTTAATGATCTTAATTTACAACTCAATTATATTAGTATATGTGAGAAAAAATACAAAACTATCAAACGTTTAATAAATAAAATAAGTCGAACAGGTAAGAGGAAACCAATCTAACTCAACAAGATGTTAATACTGATTGAACAAAAGACTAATCTGCAGCCCAAATGTTTTATATTTAAGACTATATATAAATTATAAATTAAAACTCACCCTCTTTGAAGACATAAACGTTCGAAAAGATCCAATGTTTGAGTATAATTTGAAATGAGAACAACTTTATCAGACGATGTTGCTTTAATTACAGCCAAAAGATAATCAAGAACTTGAAATTTACCTAAAACCAAGCGAATAGTTAAAAGTTATTGTTGATTTATAAAATAGGTTGCTAAATGACCTCATAAGTATACATGAGATAGTTCTCATTACCATTTAGTCAATCGCATTTCTAGGTTTGAAAACCCTCTCTTCCAACTTCCCTTTAAGCAACCCAATAATATCACACCAGCCTACACAACAAAAAAGTAACTTGGAGCTGAATAAATGATATTGTATGGAGTTACAAAATATGAAATTTAAGGTCATAGAAAAATTCCAACAGAAAAGAATTGCAAAACGTAGCAAATCACCAGCGGGAGCAAACTACAAACGACGACACAATAAAGTATGTGAAGCACAAAGATATGAAAAAATTTTATTACATGTGGAAGGAAGGAGTTTGGTCTGCCAAAGAAAAATCCATACCACACGACTCAACCTATAAATTAGAGATAATATCATTACTTCCACATTTGATTCAACGTTGTATTTTTATTCAAAGTTGACTAAAAAAATGAGTAGAGCTTCAGCCAAATCAGTTGGAGAAATATCAAAACAAGGAAGTGGTTTTTGGGAATATTCCCTAAAAGATGTTATTAATAATACATCTTATTACAAATTTCCACTTTCATTTCACCACAACTGCGTTTATTTTGTACAGGTTTCTTTCACATTGAATTTATACAATAATCAAAGTCCAGTATTAATTTTCACAAGCCCATTGTGAAAACCTGAATGTTTTATCCTCAATTTAACGGTTGTTAACCAGGAATTAGTTTGCTGTTCACGTTGATGTCGACTGATTGTTTTTTCGGTTTGAAACAACAAGCTTCGTTCACATTGATATTATCAATACGTATTGATGGAGATTTCTACACTGTGACAAACTAATATCCTACAATCGTCAAAATTTCAGTAGTCGATCAGTAGAAGCTAAGTTCACCTTTGATTTACGAGGAAACTAATGAAGTTCGTTGATGTTGCACTTTTTAAGAAGCTAGAAAACTTACGTTAATTGAAGCCAACTGCATTTATATAATGCATAAAATTTCAAAAAAATGCTAAAAATAACTTTAATTTATGCCTTACTTAGTCTAACATATTCGAGTTTCAGCCGATTCACTCCCTCTATCATCCAGAGACCTAATATTAGTTGTCGTGGTGTTTCGTTCTCAGCTGGATGTTTTGGTTGTGGAGCTTTCATTGTTCTTCTGAACAACATCATCAGTACAAACTTCAAACTTCTACCTAATGTTTGTCCATTTTATACGTTAGAGATATTATGTTTACATGTAAAAGGAAGTAATAGAAAATGAATAATCTACACTAAAAAGAAAGGAAATTAACAACCCTCTGAGGACATAAAAGCTAATAAAAATAAGTACTAATCCAGCAATCAGATTACTAACCAGATAATTCAGGTTTTACAGCAGCTTTAGATTCAAGTGAACTTTGATAATCAGCGGGAAAATAACTAAGGGCATTATAAAACCCATCGGTATTTGTAAACATCTTCTCATATACAAGATCCGGATCTGAACAACAGTAAAATTAAAAGTAAATATTTCAGATTAGAAAGCTTCTTGTACATCAAAAGAAAGTTTTAAATGAAATAGGACAGGACAGGAAAGGAGTGTGCCATAAATAAAATGTAATATTTGGTAAAATGGCAAGTTATTCATTTGAAACGCATTTGTTAAAAGATTACCGTTTCCTTCGTAAAAATACTAGGCGTTAACTCAGTATATTTGGTAAAGATGGAAAATCAACCGATCACACAATGAATCTTCATCAACGATGAAGATTGGAACATGTATTATGTATACCCAACTATCGTCTATCTCGTTACGCGATGTTCACTTGGTAAGAAGTATGTTGTAAAAACATACGAGCGACCAAAACAAAATATGGTTACACTCCATGAAGACTGACTTTAGCACTGAGTTATGTAGGTAGATGAAAATTACCTGGTTGGAGTCCGAGTGATCACCGTAAAAACCAATGGTTAAGGACTTTGGGTGACATGACAAAGAATCATTCGCAATGGTACACGTGAATTCAGTCTTTGTCTTTTTTGAGATCTTAAGTTTTGAAATTATACTTCCCGTTTCACTCGCTCAATTTATTGTTTCTTGTCTAATCACTATAACCACTAACAGTGTCACTACATCTATTACTAAGGATTTGTCCAATTTCATCTTACTATGCTAAGGGGATATAGTGATGTGCATATGGCTTGGTTATAGGTGGTGTATGAGTGACTGACTGCATTCAATTTTGTGCTAGACTACCTTCGAAATGAAAAGTGGTTGAAGATAGATGGTTTGTAATTTAAATACAATAAACATTCTATACTCCTGTATCCAAATAGTACTTTCATCATTTGTGAAACAAATCAGACTATTAATGCTTATGTGAACTATGCTAATAGTTACAAACTCCGACTTCAATACTTCCTTTAGTCATCTTTCTTGCTGGCTAACTAGATAGAATCCAGGCTTTACCCATAACATTCATTACGGTAACGAGAGAAACGATATATATATATATATATATATATATATATATAAAGGATAGGGTCATTAATGTGGCGTTTAACTTGCATATCCTCATGACCCAACCGAGCTATATTGGCTGGAACATATGTTCCTGAAGGTTCTACGATGCCAGGGAGGTCGATCGGAGAACGATGAGACTAAAAACAGTTATTCAAGGTCTGAGGACGAAGTCGTACTGCTGACTGTGATAGAGAGGTGTGACAGCAGTAAGGTGTTTCCCTCGGACAACCAGCATCTGCAGCGGTGCTGCCTTCTCACAAGGAAGGAAGGGTTAGAAAAGGTCGGCCCTAAAAATGTCACACCTCCCCTAACTCACGGATTTCCGTCTCCCTGGGTAAGGGTGCCCACTAAGGGCCTTGAAGAACGGAGCTAATACTCAAAAATCTTTTCATAAAAAGGCCGTGCGTGACCGGCCTCAAGCAGTTGTCCCTTGGGCTCTGCAGTCACGCACCAACACTAATCCATCTTCCTTTTCAGGTCCCTCAAGAAACAACCTTCCACGGTGTGGGCAGCCGGGAAGTGACAACCGCCCTCATACCCGTAACAGCACGCGAGACCAAATTGGTCAAAATCAAATCCTTCCTACACCCTCTAATGTCTCCCGTATTTCTACGGCTAACTCTACTCACACTCCCTTTTCCCACTGCACCCCTAATGCAGACGAAGCGAAATCACGAAACGTCGTTCCTGGTCTCCTGAAACCCCGTTCTAGACTACATGTTGGAGCATTTAATGTACGGACATTGTGTCAAATAGGGCAACAGGCATCACTAGCTAGGACTTTAGAAACTCGTGCCATCGATGTGTGCTGCGTCTCGGAAACGCGCATACAGGATCCTAGTAAAGTCATTAACCTGATTCCACCTTGTCAAAACGAAGAAGCAGCCAGATTCACTCTTCGTGTATCCGGTAGCCCTGATGCTGCTTCCAGGGGTCTTGCTGGCGTAGGCATAGCGTTGAGTCCTAGGGCAGAATTATCTCTCCTAGACTGGATCCCAGTAGATAGTCGTTTGTGTGCTGTCCGATTAAACGGGACAGTAAGGACTCGGAAGGATAGGACAATCGCCGTTGCCTCTTCGTCATATCTGCCTATGCCCCCACTGACTGCAGTGCAGACGAGGTTAAAGATGAGTTTTACAGAAAGCTTTCGCACCTCCTCCAAAAAGCTAGGCGCTCTGATATAGTAATAATGGCTGGTGACTTTAATGCTCAAGTAGGTAGACTAGGTGAAAAGGAAAGACATCTAGGTGGATGTTATGGTGTAGCGACTGAGAGAACAGACAATGGCGACCGTCTGTTGCAACTAAGCTCAGATAACCGCCTATTCTTAGCGAACACTAATTTGAGGCATAAGGAAAAGCATTTGTTGACCTGGCGACCCCCAAAGTCGTCTCAACGTTGGACTCAACTAGATCACATCGCCATCAGCCACCGATGGAGAGGTTCGATAGAATACTGTCACTCGTTCTGGGGCACATGTTTGGATTCAGATCATGCTCTAGTGCGAGCTCGTATCTGTTTAAGGCTTACTGGACGTAGGAAAGACACCGTAAGAAAGCCTCTTAGGGTTTTACTTAATGATAATCAAGCTAAGAAAATATTTCAGGAGCAACTAGAAAGAGAGTTAAGCAACCATGCAAGCGATTCCCATCCAGAAGCAGGTTGGTATGATATCAAAGAGGCTGTGGAAACAGCAGTGATATCTGCTAGCAAGGTAAACCATGAGGCTAGGATGAAGCCGTGGATATCAGTCGCATCCACCGAACTGATGGATGCTCGAAAACGCATCCCACCTGACTCTGAGCATGATGAAGAGCGTAGTCAGCTTAGGCGCAGACTTATAAAAAGTCTGCGTAACGACCGCGAACAGTGGTGGGTGGCGAAAGCAAAAGCGATGGAAATGGCAGCGGCGATAGGCAACACTAGACAACTTTTCCGCCCTATTAAAGAAACTGGTATTAAGAACCCGAATGTAAGTGAGACTATTTCAAATAAAAGGATGGGATTATTATCCATTCTCAATCCAGGAGACTGGATCGATGGGCAGAACACTTTAGGGATCAGTTCAACTGGCCTCGAGCCACTCTTCGGTTACCCACGATCTCCAGTCATCCTAAATGGCAAATCGACCTAAGTCCCCCTAGTCTTAATGAAGTTGAGAAAGCGTTAGGAAATCTGAAACGAGGACGAGCTGCAGGTCTTGATAGACTGACCCCTGAGATTTTTAAGGATGGTGGTCCAGTTTTAGCAGCTAGGTTGACTGAGATCTTAGGTAGAATCTGGGAACTGGACGCAATCCCATCCGACTGGTCTCAATCACTGATTGTCCCAATCTATAAGAAAGGACAAAAGTCTTCTTGTGACAATCACAGAGGAATAAGTCGAACTAATATAGTATCTAGAATATTGGCCTCAATACTACTTCGACGCTTAACGAAAGCTCGTGAAGAGCAGACTCGAGAAAACCAGGCTGGTTTTCGACCTGGACGTGGTTGTATAGACCACGTCTTCACACTCAGACAGGTCCTGGAACATAGACACACATTTAGGCGTCCTACAATAGTTGTTTTCCTAGACCTAAAAGCGGCATTTGACTCTGTTGATCGTAAGGTTCTGTGGCAGTGTCTGTCATTGAAAGGTGTACCAAAGAAGTACATTAACCTTATACAAGCTCTTTACTCGAACACCACTGGTCGAGTGAGGGCTTATGGCGAACTGTCACCGGAATTCTCTACATCAAGTGGTGTCAGCCAGCGATGTCCACTTTCTCCATTCTTGTTTAATTTTATCACACACATGCTCCTAGAAATAACATTATCCTCGTCTGAATTTTCTGGAGTAGACCTTTTACCAGGTGGCTCGCTTATTGACTTAGAATATGCCGATGACATTGTCCTACTTGGTGAAGATACTGACAAAATGCAGAGTCTTCTGACTACCATAAGCAACAATGCAAGCATGTTCGGGATGCGGTTTTCCCCCTCGAAATGCAAAATGTTGCTTCAAGACTGGGTTGCATCGGCACCTGAACTAGTGATAGGGAGTGAAGTAGTCGAGCGTGTTGATCACTTCACTTATCTGGGGAGTCTCATCAGTGCCGATGGCCTGGTGACTGACGAAATCTCAGCACGGATACAGAAGGCTCGATTGGCTTTTGCCAACCTGCGTCACTTATGGCGTAGGCGAGATATCCGTTTGCTGACTAAAGGACGAGTGTACTGCGCAGCAGTTCGCCCCGTTCTCCTATATGGATGCGAAACATAGCCGTTAAGTGTAGATGCTCGTAGGTTACTAGTATTCGATCATAGATATCTTAGAAGCATTGCTCGTCTTTCCTGGGACAACCGAGTAAGCAATGCTGTCGTTAGGAAACGAGTCCTAGGTAAAGATGGCAGATCAATTGATGAGGTGGTAAAACGTCATCAGTTGAGGTGGTTGGGACATTTGTTACGAACGCCTAAACACCGACTGCCGCGACGAGCTATGTTTTGTGGTGTAGGAGTAGGTTGGAGGAAAGCTAAGATCGGCCAGACCAAATCATTGCACAAATCCATGAAGTCACTGACAAGTGGACTGAGTCATGTTGGTAGATGCAGGCTAGCTGTTTGGAGTCGGCGAAACGAAAGTCACCAATGGTTAGAGACCTTGAACGACATGGCTCAAAATCGTTTGCAGTGGCGCAAGTGCATCCATTCGTTGTGCTCTCTCAAATCCTAATCTTCTGGATTCGTCAGCACCTCTACCTTTGTCTTTCTAACCTTATCTCACTGAATTATACTTCTTGAATAATATCTTCAAACGCTAGTCTTCTTCATTACCATTAATACCTCTACTATCTCTATCACTATGGGATTTGGTTTGACATTTGCGTCTCTGTGCTAATGTGGTATGGCAACCTGAACTTATGTACATACGTACGAAGTTCTACGTTGCAACTGACTGACTGACTGAAGGAGTTTTACCTTAATCTGTATCTGACAATAATGTCAATTTCAATGTAATGCTGAATATAGTTGAGAAGAAATGAATGAAATCGCGAGTGAAAAATATGGAATTATATTGGGACTCGGAACTCAAAGAAAGATAAACAATTATATCTGGGTCACTGTGAACTATTTCAAGTTATGTAACCTGCAATTTTCAACCATTTATTACTATCAAGTAACATACTTTAACCAGAAAGTTTGTACCGACAGTGAATAACTTTACTGACTACTGACTCAAAAGCCATAAGGCAACACTAGAATATCATCTTGATTTAAAAAGTAAGAGTTCAGTCAGTTAAGAGTACATTGACTACTACCTTTAAACAGACAATATAAATGCCATCGTATACCACACGGGTTAAAACGCTTGTCAATAAATCTTTGGAAAAATGATGGCAAAGTAAATTAAAAACGATCAGTAACCTACTCACCAAATAAAAATTTTACTAGCTAATCAGTTAACTTGTAGACAGTCTCTGTTATAAAAAAAGTATTAGTTAAGTAATAAATACAATCCCAAAATCTACTCAAATATTATCTAAATAGATCAGTTATAAGACGTAATTGTTATAATCATGAAATAATTATTTACTGGACTTACGATTACATAACTTCTTTAAGTGTGTTATCGACGCCAAACTAGATACTGATAACTTATCATTACGTGAATCATCTATGGTGTTCATTCTCAACGAAACTTCATGTGCCATTCGTTTAACAAAATCTGAATACACTTTACGCTGACTTCCAACTAAATTGCAGCAAACTACTTGTTCAACTGAAATGGAAAATAGGAGAATTAGACGTATTTCATCTGAATTAAATGAGAATGCAAATATTCAAATCAGGTACGTAGATTTTGAAATTTGTGGAAATCTTGAAACAATGAACTTAAGTATAAAAAACGCAAGCAGGAGCAGGAAATCGTCCGTATTTAAAAAGTTGTAGTTCCGTTTTAACGACTTCGTAAATTGGAATAAGTTTCTACTTGATTTATCACCAATAAAATATACAACAAGCTTATTATTGATCTATTATGCAAATACATACACGATGATGTACGGTAAAACTACTTTGAAAAACTCGAATTGGGATAAACAGCTGTTTTAAATGGACTACAATTCATTCTGTAAATTTATAAATGCCGAAATTCCAAACACTACACCTGTGCGACAATTCGGTAGTGAAACTGTATGAAAACAAATTTTAGAGGGTACGTTTAGCGCTTATTTAAATTTACATAAATAATACATATTTGGTAGTAGAGAACGAAAAACAACACAACTAAATACATGGTGTAAGAAGAAAAATATTGTGATGGTTAACTACTTGGTCTCAAATGTAACTCAAAGTGGTTAAAGATTTTATAAAATATTTGAAATCGATATACAGTAATTTATTTAGAAAACGTATAGGAAAAAAAGTTTATTCCAAAGAAGTTAAATACGGCATGAGGAATTACTCTTGCATACTGGCTATTAAATACTATAAAAAAGTAAAAGAAATACAGACTGACATACTTTTGACAGGTAAATATTTTGTGAGTAAAGCTTGGGTCCGACGAATAATACACCGTGTCACAATACCTAAAAGCTTTTTATAACGAATAAAGTAAAAGTTATAATCATAATAATAGAACGTTTAACTGATTAGACGGTATATTTAAAGATAATTAGATAAATAAAAATGATTATCAAGTCAAATGAAAAAAGGTGTTCAAACGTGCTAAATTTTCTGTTCGTAGGAAGGTATAAATTACATTTATCGGGGATAATGGGAATAAGTAAAACATTAATATAACCGATGCTAGTTGATTTATGACTTAAAAGTTCGAATGATGAATTAAAATATAGATTTACGCTATGAAATGTTGATGTGGACTAATTATTACAAATTACGATTCTTTAAGATGGGAACGAATCAGCAACTACATTTGCAGTCTAATCAGAAAACTCCCTAAATCTTGAAGAAACAACTTCAAAGATCAATACATTAACAATTTAACAAAGAAGCAGACAAAGGGAAACTATAGGAATAAAATAGCGAAAATAACTATGTGAAACAGATAAAAAAAATGAAGTAAGCAGCTAATACTAGTTATGACAATAATAATGATGTCCAACATAAAGGATTATTTGAAACTATAGTTCCCTTTACTTGGTGAAGTGATTGCATCTAAACTAAATATCCAAAAACTTTTTGAAAACCTTCAATCGTCTGCTAACGATATCTTATACAATGACTTGAAAAGTGAATGCTTAACCGCTAATTCGGATTTGTGAGTTGATTATACAAATCTACATTTTCGAATTTAGACATAGATTTAAACTCCGGATGACCTTACCAGATTAGGTGATTTATTGATATCAAAAGCTCCAATTAGAGCAAAGATACCTTTAAAGCATTGCTCGCATATGTTTGAACCAACAAGCGAGTAATACTAGGAGTTAACTCAGTTTATTTGGCAAAGATGGAAAATCAACCGATCACACAATGAATCTTCATCAACGATGAAGATTGGAACACGTATATGTATACCCAACTATCGTCTATCTCGTTACGCGATGTTCACTTGGTAAGAAGTATGTTGTAAAAAACATACGAGCGACCAAAACAAAATATAGTTACACTCCATGAAGACTGACTTTAGCACTGAGTCATGTAGGTAGATGAAAATTACCTGGTTGGAGTCCGAGTGATCACCGTAAAAACCAATGGTTAAGGACTTTGGGTGACATGACAAAGAATCATTCGCAATGGTACACGTGAATTCAGTCTTTGTCTTTTTTGAGATCTTAAGTTTTGAAATTATACTTCCCATTTCACTCCCTCAATTTATTAGTCTAAAAGTACACTTTCTTATCACTATTGATATTGTCACTAGTTTTGTAACGCTGTGATCTTTATTTAGAATTTCACCTCACTCTGCTATCGGTGTACGGTGAGGCGAATCGATCCATAATATGTATTAGGTACTATAGTGTCTATGATTGCGTCACACAGTGTAGCGAGCAAATGTCCAACAGAAATCGTAGTTAAATCTTGAAATGGATGGGTGTTTCCTAATGAAATATAAATTTCATATAGCATGGATTAGAACAACAGGTAAGAACACAGGATACCAATAGACATACTTCCTGTAGTATTTCTTCGCCTTTCTTTTGATCTTCATCAGTAGCATCTGCATCACGTCCACGCAAAATCGGTATTTCAAAACGACGTCTGAACTCACTAGCTGTACCTAACAATCCCGTATTGACGAAGTGTACTAGACTAAAATATTCAAGCAAATCATTCTGAATTGGTGTGCCAGAAAGAAGTACACGACGTGGACAGTTTAACTGAACTAGTGCTTGATATGTTCGATTTTCCGAAATTTTCAAACGATGTCCCTATTTAAGCGAAATTGAAAATATGATGAAAATCGAGGTTTATTACTAGAGAATCTAGCTTATTATTTTGAAAAGTAAAGGAACAGCAAGCAAGTATTCGGTTTCAGCATAAAATATATTAAAATACAAATATAGAACTTCAAACAAAAACACTTATACACAAAAGTTCACTTTTGAACATGTTTGAAGGATTTGAATACGCATTATTTCATGGTATACCATACTTTTACTAAGTAGACCTCCAAGATATATCGTTGGTTTGAAGAAGTGCAAAGGTAAGAAACAATCATTTACACTTGCCCTGTAGGTGCACGTAAGCTATGAGTCCAATCTTCTGCGGTGCTCATTGCTACCTTTTCTGTATTTCTCTCCCTGTTCTTGTGTGACGTATATGCTATCTGTTTAGACTGAGTTTCCAAAAGTAGCTGCTGCCATGTTGTAGCGGTCGAGTTTGCCTATCATGATGACCGAACCAAGCTAAATTGCAAGGAACACATGCTCCTTTAGGTCTTACAATGCCATGCAGGTCGGTTTGGGTGACGATAAGACTAAAAGCAGCAACTTAAGTTCTAAGAGCGAAGTCGTAATACTGACTGCAGGAGATGTGACAGCAATAAGGCGTTTTACCTCGGACAACCAGCATCTGCACCAATGTTGCCTTTTCACAATGGAAAGACAGGGTTAGAAAGGGTCAATCCTAAAAAATGACACCTCACTTTACCCCAGGGATTTCCGACTCCGACTGAAAGGGAGTATCAAATGGCGACTCCCAAAGTCATCCCAACGATGGACCCAACCAGATCACATCGCGATCAGCCACAAATGGAGAGGATCGATGGGAGACTGTCGCTTGTACTGGAGCGCAACTTGAGATTCCGAACATGCTCTAACAAGAGAACATGAGTGTCTGCTGCTCACTGAAAGTAATAAAGGCACAGCAAAGACACATATTAAATATCCGTTAAACCATAGCAAAGCCTAGAGTATATTTCAAGAGTAACTAGAAAAAGTTAGGCAGGCATGTAGGCGATTCCCAACCTGAGGCAGCTTGGAACGATATTCAGAAAGCTGTGGAAACAGCAGTGATATCTGCCCAAGGGGCGAGCCCCGGCCGTAGCTGATACCTTGACGTCGTGGTCGGGCTTGCCTATCGACATGACCCAACCGAGCTATACTGGCTGGAACACATGTTCCTGCAGGTCCTACCATGCCGGGGAGGTCGATCGGAGAACGATGAGACTAAAAGCAGCTACCCAAGGGCTCAGGGCGAAGTCGTACTGCTGACTGTGATAGAGAGGTGTGACAGCAGTAAGGTGTTTCCCTAGGANA